ATCCTAATTTGTCTTTTAACTGTGAACTGCACAGTTGTAGATAAATAGATAGATAGATGTAAAACATAGATAAATAGATAGATAGATGTACAACATAGATAAATAGATAGATAGATGTACAGCATAGATAAATAGATAGATAGGTGTACAACATAGATAAATAGATAGATAGATGTACAACATAGATAAATAGATAGATGTACAACATAGATAAATAGATATATAGGGGTACAACATAGATAAATAGATAGATAGATGTACAACAAAGATATGCAAATATAGAGACATAGTTAACTAAAAAGATAATAAATAGTCTTCAGTTAAAGTTAGCGAGTTTTAATAAATAGATAGATAAATGGATAGATTCAAACAGATAAATAGATCTATAGCAATATAAAAAGTAGACTAATGAATAGAAATGTAAACATAGAAGGATAGATAGATAGATAGATAGATAGATTTGATTGCGTTAATAGAGTTTGACATTAGTAGATTTCTTTCACCCATTTCAGGGGATTATGGGACTCCTCCTTGGACCCTATAAACCCTATAGGCGTCCTAGGCGTCGTCCTGTCAGCAGGGTCCTGTCAGCAGGGTCCTGTCAGCAGGGTCCCGAAAATGTCTTTTTATGCTCGGGTGATGGATTCCTTTGCAGGACAATCAGTGCGCAGCGCAGATGTGCACAGAGGATCACAAGCACGCATCTTTTCCCACAATTCAACCCTTTTCTCGTTTTTTTGTATTTGAACTTCACATATCAAACCTTTACAACCAGTCTAATCTTTTTGCGGTGGATTTGCAAGATTAAATAAAATATGCATTACTTCGATTTAAAACAAAACGATTTGTAAGAAACTGTACTTTCACAAAAAATCCTCCAACAATAGTTTTTTTTTTTTAAATGGAAAATATAAAGTTGACCTTCAAGCCATGAATGTATTCTAGGGTTAAAGCCAGTTTCACATGGTTCAGGAAAATAATTCAGCAGGGGGCACCAAGGGGAGGGGGGTTTCCTACTGGGGCTCTATAGGGGTCGAAGACACCCATCATCCACCCAGCAATAGAGAAACACTGACACTTAAGAATGTGTTCTCTGCCTTATTCATCATATATGTTCACAGGGTGTCCCAATTTTATTTATGTTCCAAGGGTGTCAAAATTTTTTAATTCATCATATATGTTCATAGGGTGTCCCAATTCTATATTCATCATGTTGTACGAAATTTTCTATTCAATGAAATACTTGATTTAAAATTTTCAACGAAAAAAGTAGTTTTAGGAGGAAAAATTTTTGTATACCCAACATATATGTGTTTGATGTATATTTGATTGAAATGAATATGAAAAAGTAAATGTTAAATCCAGCTGAGGGAATTTCTACAACTTTATTCCTGAAAGAAAGGATTCAAGCGAAGTTTTCTGAATTGCTTGAATGCCGCGGTTTTTTAAACCTTTAATTCAATTGAATTTTTGAATGTTGGGTCATATGCCCGTTTTAGGGTCTAGTACTAGAAGGGTTCTTTAGCAACCAAAGGGGGGGTTCCCCTTTTTGAATGAGGGGGGGGGGAAATACCTTTTGGTGAAATGAAAAAGATGAAGAATTTGATGATTTGTCAGGATGGCTGTTAAAGATTTTTAAATGTTATGATAATTGTTTGAAAACCTTCTTAAATATGAATTTTAATATGAAGGAAAGGAAGAAAACTGTCCCAAATATACCAAAGGGGGGGGGGGGGGGGGCAGAGAGGAGGCAGATGGGACTAATTCCCATGGGCTGACAGGACAGGATTTGTTTGTCACAAGTATTTTTTAGTCAAAAAATCCGCCAAATTGTTCACTTTTTGATGTGCTGAAAATTCGCAAAGTTTATGAGAGTAATTTTGTCAAAGTTTTGGCAATTGATGATATACCGTTGAGAAATTGTTGGTAAAAAGTATGTCTATTTAGCATAAAACAACCTTTTTGTTTAGTGTTTTGTATATCGTAGCAGTAGGATGGTTTCATGCCTTTCTTATTTAAGAAACAGACATATCTTTCAAATGTTATCTATTTGTTATGCTGTCTTTAAGTTGTTTGTTTTAATCTTGTCAATTCAAGATTTTCAAGAATGTAACATTATTTGTAATATTACTGGAATTCTTTTTTTTTCTTAAGCAGTAACTTATTTTGTCAAAGCAATGGGTTTGTCCGGGCATGTTTTCAAAGTTTGATAAATGAACCTTGGAATACTGACACTTCTAACGACATGGCATACAAAACTTCTTGAAAAAGGCAGAAATCATAACGGTGCATATACTTAGTACAGCCAGACAGTTGTTGAAAAAAATCTGCGGTTTATGAAAATAATTCAATAAAAAAAACATTTTGACCACCCGAAGGCCCCCCAGTGAGCAACTCTGTGTCTTTTAAATATCTTTTTGAGGTTGGGTTTATGTCAGAACATTTTTACGAGTTCGTGGCTCAATAGAGTTTAGAAGTGTACACATATGTTCGTTTGTGACCGTAGATACAAGTGTGTATAAGTCAAGTGACTCTGAACGTCTGACTATCTTTATATCTATCTGTATATATATTTGAAAAATTGTTTTAAAAGTTTTTTACATTTCAATTTATCGAGCTGTTTGTCCATCTAGTGTGTGTGTTAAATGAAAAAAGATAAATAATTTGTGGTACAAGATTCAGCCACTGTTCCATTATTCGTTCAAGTCTCTTTTTCGTTAAATTTGTGGCGCTCGTTAAACAGAACTTTAAACTAAATACATAGATGTCATTATAATTAATGTTTTCAATTAAAAATAACAGGGCTATGTTGGGTAGGGCTGAAAGGGGGGGGGAGATTAAATAAATAAAATGTTTTAAACTGTTTGATTTAGTAGAGGAGAATGTGGGGGGGGGGATGGTAGAAACTTGTGTGTTAGTAAGACCAAGATTCCGGCACGTTCCTAGATATGCGGGAGTGGTCGGACAGCCGGGGGGAGAACAACTTTTTGTAGATTCTAAATAAATACTTTTTGAAAAATTTTTAAATGCAAAAGGGTTTACTATCGAACAAGGAACGAATATGTAAATTTGTTCGAAAAAAATAATTTGAGTAATTTCCGTTTTATTGTTTTATTTGCCGACACTTTCCGCAGAAGAAAAGGGTTTTTGTTTGCGGATTTTGTTATTAAAATTGAGATTTTAAACTGCCCGAAGAAGAGTAAAAGTGGCCAGATTTTATGATTAAGGCCTGCATGGTCAAAACGGCTTGAAATTCCGGTTTATCAGGGGCGCAGTATACATTTTTATAGGAGGGATCGGGGGGGGGGGGGGTAGTAAAGCCGACACTAAGACTCAAAATAAAATCTTTAGAATAAGGTAAAATTTCCTAAAAATGGTGGGAGGGGGTATGTTACTACTTATCATACCGATGAACAGGGGCCTGAAAGGCAATATAGTTGTTAAAAGTTTTAAATTCTTAGTAAGTACAATATAAGCATCATAGTAAAGAATGAAAATAAAAAATCCAAACTTATTTTGAAATAATTTAATTTTGGGTTGATGGGACTTGTTTGCCAAAACACCAAAACAATTAAATTTTAACACATGTTTTAGATTTATGTCGTTATAACCCCCATTTTTAAAATTTGAGAACATTACCTTCCATCCCTATCCTTATCTCCTACCCCTATCCTATCCTGTGTGCACTGTTTGAGTTTGAAAGGGCGGGGAAGAGGTGTGTCTAAGTTGTACTCTGTGGGGTACATCTCTCTCAACCTCATGAGTTCAGGGGTAACAATTAGAAATTAGACAGGGAACCAGCCAGTGGCTTAGACTTGTTGGTAATAATTCAATATTTTCTTGGTTGAAAATTTTGAAACAGGGAACCAACCAGTAGCCTAGACTTTTTGGTTACAATTCAATATTTTATTGGTTGAAAATTTTAAAGACCGACCCCCACATCAAACTACATCCTAGTCCCTGAATTAGTCTCCTAAAATTCTGAATTTTGTGGGTAAATGCCTCCCACCCACATACCACCTTCACAGCAGTACACACGATACACAACCATACCAGGGGGGGATCACTCCCCTTTTTGAATGAGGGGGGGGGGAAATACCTTTTGGTGAAATGAAAAAGATGAAGAATTTGATGATTTGTCAGGATGGCTGTTAAAGATTTTTAAATGTTATGATAATTGTTTGAAAACCTTCTTAAATATGAATTTTAATATGAAGGAAAGGAAGAAAACTGTCCCAAATATCCCCCCTTAAATAAAGTAAAGACTGAAAGCTTGGCTTGAAATTAGATTGATGAAAATGGAGCCAAATAGGTTGTAACATCAACCTTAAACCCACGTTTACCGATTAAATAAAGATAAAGTCACCCCCCCCCCCCCCCACACAAACTGAAATTATTAATAAATAAATATAAATTTGAACGCGCAAACGCAGTTTACCTAACGTGCTTACAAGCACACTTCGACCTTGAATGGCACATTTCGCCGACAAAGTCGACATGACAATGACTTAGGATGTCGAACAAGTCGCTCTAAAGATTGCAACCACTTGTCGTCCCTATTTAACTGCATGTGTAGTGTCGCTATTTCGACATCACAGTAAGCTGTTGTAATTGTTTTTTCTTTCTTGATAAATCACAGTGTTCAAGTAGGAATCGATAATGGAAAATCGTTAAATTTTTTCCTATTTTTCATTTTGTTCTTCTATAGCTTTGGTGGTGATGGTACATTCTATACACTGGTGAGAGGCGTAACTGGATTATTCATCTAGGGGGGNAGTTAATATAGTCAATAGAGATACAAGTCAACATGTCGTTTAATGGACATACTTCAGCTGATAGTTAATATAGTCAATAGAGATACAAGTCAACATGTCGTTTAATGGACATACTTCAGCTGATAGTTAATATAGTCAATAGAGATACAAGTCAACATGTCGTTTAATGGACATACTTCAGCTGATAGTTAATATAGTCAATAGAGATACAAGTCAACATGTCGTTTAATGGACATACTTCAGCTGATAGTTAATATAGTCAATAGAGATACAAGTCAACATGTCGTTTAATGGACATACTTCAGCTGATAGTTAATATAGTCAATAGAAATACAAGTCAACATGTCGTTTAATGGACAAACTGCATGGACATAAGGGTAAAGACAAAGACAGATAGACACGTTGACAGGTAGACAATGATATAAAAAATAGGAAACCAATTTCAACCCAAATTATTTGTAATAATTCAACAAAGATGACACAAAGTTTTTTTAAGAAGAAATAAACTTTTTTAAAGAAAATATAAAATCTTACTTGTTCCCCAAACTCTAGAGGCTGCAGCGTGATCCTTCAAATCTTAAAACAAAAAGAAATTGTTAAACTTGCAACATTTTCAGTTTTTACTACTTATACACAGCAGACACACTACACACCCCTTTACAGACGTCAGCAGTTTTTATTGAGATATTAGTTTTTATATTAAGATGAATCTCTACACTCTTTCAGAGAAAACAATTTGGACAAAAAAAATGTTTTTTTTTTACCTTTTGGCCACAGATAGGAGGGTTGATTGGTGTCGTGTCTTTCTAGATTAGGATCTAAAATTAAAAATAAATAAGATTTTTTAAAATCAAAATTTGATTTATATGAAATGTTTTTAAAACCTTTTATTCTTTGAGAATAATTACAAAGAATTGAATTTTTCAGATTTTACAAAAGCCCCGATTTTAGAGTACTGAAAAGAATCCCGCCCCAGCCTAACTTTTTATTCTTTAAACACTCGTCAGAACCCATAATTAGAACCCTAGATGGGTTTTCAGAGCAGAAATTGATTTAAATAGAACAATTTTGATCGAAATGCCGCAATGATTTGTTTTGAAAAAATTGCGCATTTTTTAGTTCAAAATGAAAATGGTGGATTTCATTTTTATTGATAAAATTACGTCGCGCTTACCTGGTGATCCTTGTCCTAGCGGACTAGTAAAGTCCCGTTGAAGAGGTTCGTGGGGCGCATTGTGATCATAGTGAGGGGGGTCAGTCTCCCCAGTGAGGGGGTTATACTCGCCCCCCATCTGCGGGGGGGTCATACGCTTCTCCTTCTGCCTCCTGTTACAGAACCAGACCCTTACCACCTCCTTCTCCAGCTGCAAGGAGTCCGCCAAACCGGAAATCTCCTGCGCCGTCGGTTTAGGGCTCTTATTGAAATGCTGCTCCAGTGCACCTTTAATCGATACTTCGATGCTAGTGCGCTTTTTCCGTTTTCGTCCTTGAGCTGCTATTTTATCTATGTTGGCCGAAGTGCCTGTGGTGCTATCAGCTTCTGCCAACCATTTTTGTAACAATGGCTTCAATTTGCACATATTTTTAAAGCTAAGTTGGAGCGCTTCAAAGCGACATATTGTGGTTTGTGAGAATACATTTCCGTAGAGGGTCCCCAGGGCTAGACCAACATCGGCCTGGGTGAAACCAAGCTTTATTCTCCGCTGCTTGAACTGCTTGGCAAATGCTTCCAGGTCGTCTGAAAAGCCAATGGCAGAAAGTTGCAGTGAGTATCTCGAGAAATTAGGAAGAAACGAGAAAAAAGAAAATGTGACAAAAATTAAATTAATTAAAATTCCAACAATAATAATGATTTCTTTACTTTTGCTTTTTAACATGTCACATTTTCATTTTTTGTTTTTTTTTTCAATAAAATGAGGATGAAAATAGGAAAATAGTAAAATAGGATGACATAAAAAATGTATAAAGAAAAAAGTTTATGTAAAAACTGAAAAAAGACTTACATCCAAGAAGTCTTTCTTCGTGCGGTGAAAACATGTCCGCTGAAAAAAGGAAAAATAATTTTTAATATTTTTAAGTATTCTTGTTTTCAAATTTTTTTTTATAGTTTTCCTTTTTTGAGGGAATGAAATATATTGTTGAAAATATTGCTCCGAAATAATCTTTACACGTGAAATTATTCAGGACTGCAAGGTTTAAAGCAAAAAAGAACGAGTCTTTAATTTTTGGTGATTGTGAATTATGGTCGAAGCAATGTATCCCCCCCCCCCATCCCAAGTTCAACTGAGAAAATTAAAACCCGACCATATTTAACTTGACTAATCCTGTAAAACCCGATCCCTACAAATCTGCACAGATATATTTTTCAACTAAAAACTCATTTAAGATTTTCAAAATTTTAGTGATCGAAAAAAATATCGGTTTTTATATTTTGGTGCTTAAATATCACACTGGGGGGCCAAGGAAGGTTTACACATAAAAAGAATGGATGGGGGGGGGTCAAGTACTCTACGAGATTACGTTTAATGTTCAAAGGCAGAAAATGGTTGAAAAATTAGATTTAATTTCTTTAAAACTGGCTCCGATTCATGTAATTTATACGCTTGTCTTTCTGTTAACATTCGTAAATGTAATGGATAAAAAACTACACATCTATATATAAATTAGAAGATGGGCGCGAAGCCCCCTATAAGGCTAGTGAAAATCAACCATTTATTTCATATATTTTCCTTTTCAACAGTTAAAAAGCCCCTGATAGATTTTCCTACATTTACTACGATAAATTGGCCTACACCGTTTTTTGGGAGACAAATGAACGTATTTTTTGAACAGGGGATTGTTAGAACTAAAAATTACGACATCTCATACTGTGCAATGAAAAAACGGTGAATACAGAGGGGGGGGGAAGGGGGGGACTAGGGAGAAAAGGGAGGGTATAGAACTCATGGGGGTTGTAATTGTATTGACCTTATATATTGGTTTTACTACTTTTCCTAAAAATCTCATACAAATTTATCAATCTTAATTGTTACAAAGCTTAAAATGAATTTCAATTCTTCTTTTTGCACTAATATCATAAAAAAGTTTCGTTAAAAAAAACTGTTAAAGAGAAAAGAATGTTTTCAAGAGCTATAAATAAACCCTCATTGGAGCACTGAGAATCAAATGGTTTAAACCATATTCAAATCTTAGTTAGGGTGAATATATATATATATATATATATATATATATATATATTGATTATAGAAGAATATTGTAAAGGTGTGAATATGGGATTAAGAGTAAAGGGCACCTGTGTAATACAGTGTTAGTTATATAAGGATTACGAGGCTGATTATTTGAGGTGAAAAATTGACAAAAGATTTAAGAGAAAATTGGACGATTGGAAAAGGGAGGCGGAAGGAAGAAAAGGAGGGGAGTGGGAGGGAAGGGGGAGGGGTTATAAATCGGAAACTATAGAATAAGAGTATGTAAGGGTATAAGTATATAAACACAATATAACACACATACTACTTAGTGCTTGTCACGAGCTCTACAATGGGTCTATTCAGTGCTAATTTTACACAAATTATAAACTGGACCAGAACACTTGAACAACAAAAATAAGAAAAACTTTGGAATATTTATATATTTAATGGCTCTCGGACAATTAAACTCGGCGCTTTGTAGAAAAGAATAAGCTTGAAAATGGTTAAATTAAAACTTTATGATAATGATAAAAGTGTGAAAAACTTGATAAATAATCCCTTTTTCCCATATTTATAAAAAGTCCAGAATTTGGATTTATTCTTATTTCTGTATAATTTCCCCATTTTTTGCTGCTCTGATAAAAAGCGCAAATTGTCGAGTTTCAGACAAAATCCGCAATTTTTTTGACGTCAAACATGAGGTCAGGCTTAGATCCCGGCACACGTCCGACAGTTTAATATTTTAAACATGTTAAATCTTTTAAGATGTAGATTTGGTGGTTTTAATAGACGTGGCGGTTTTAGATTCCACTACTTTTAATCTATATGCCCTTTTAGGGACCCTTTTAATTGATAAATTAACACCCAAAAAAGGATTTTAGGGGTTAAAAGAATTTAGGCAAAAATTAAAGTTCGCTCAATTTTTTAAAAGCTGTACAACGCACGTCTCAAAATTTAACTGATTTATGTAAATCAACCAAAAATCTTGTAAAACTTAACAGAAAATCAAAATGTCAAAAAATATTTGAGAAAATGTTTCAAATATTAAAAAGGGCATATTTTCAAGGTATAATGATCAAAAACAGTGTAAAGAATGATGAATTAGTGAATGAAATTGAAATCAAATTAGGAATAAAGGATTAATGAATTAATGAACAAAAAGAATGAATAAATATAACCATGACAGATTAATAAAAACACATAGATCAAGGAGTTCAAAAAATTAGCTGCAAACATTATCCATGAAAGGTCCAAATAATGAGTGATAATTGACCTCAAATAGATTCTTTTTCTAGTACAATAGATGGAAACGTAGAATTTGTACACTCTCAGTACAGTTGTATTCTTACGTCACAAGTGCAAACTCAGTTTTTGTGTCCGACAAAATTATTAATAATTGTGATAATTTTTTAATAAAGTGCTTATCTTACAGTAAAATAAGTGCAATTTTATGTGTTCTTTATTTTCTGTTTTTACACTTTTTATTTTATCTTGGAAAACATGTTAACTAATGTGAGAAAATTTCGTTTTCCTTGTTATATTTTACACTTGTGACGTCGTGTACAGTCGTGTATAATTGGTCCATTCCTGTGTTGCCACCTATATTGACTGTACTTGATAATCTATTTCATTGGCCCAATATTGCTCACAATAAACGTCAAAATTCCTTGTACTATTGTTTGTTTACAATCATTGTATAATAAAAATACGTACTGCTACCTGAGCTAGGAGGATTCATGGAGTCCTCATCAACTAGGGATCGTGGAGAAGCATTATGAGAATCCCTATACCGATCCACAAAAGGATGTTGCATGTGCCCGGGTAGCATCCCTAAAACAACAAAATTGAAAAACAAATATTTTGGCATACACATTTTTTTAATTAAAATTTTTAAAAGATGTTGTTTCTGAAAAGGGTATAGGATCTTACAAAACTATTAAACTTTGGAATCCCTTCCCCGTTCCAACAAAATGCGCCTTTTTTAGTAGTCTATCTTTAACTGTATTCTATAATTCTAGGCGTATAAATCATTAAAACAGTNATAAATTCAAGAAAATTTATCTCCATAAAAATCTGGGGTTTGGGGCACGCATGCCGTCTTAATAACGCGCGAGCTAATAGTATCCTGGGGCCGCGAGCGCAATTTTGATATTGTAATTTTATCGTTCTAAAAGTTTAGCAAAAAGTGATACGTCCCTAAAACCTCTGTCATTAAGAATTTAAAATTTCGACGAAAATATTTCACCCATAAATCCCAAAAATCAAAAATCTCAAAAATTCTCAAAATTGCATGAAAAGGCGGTGAACTAAAACATTAATCAAAGATGGTGATTGTTAACGGCACAAGCAGATAGGAAAGATACAATCTGGAGGTGGGGGGGGAGGGGTGGAGGGAGCGCTAAGTATACATAATGAAAAATTAAAAATGAGCGGCCACAGCAAATCGATGATGTTTTAGAGCTATTTGGCCTAATAAGGGCTTCACTAAATACTACAGGGATATATGATGGTTGCCCTGCCCCCACCCCCCACCTTCCTTATATACCCCCCACCTGCCTTATATCCCCCCCACCCCACCTCCCTTGTATACCCTCCCCCCGGCCCTGCCTCAAACCTTCTTTTCGTAATAATATCTACAACCATCACTTCTTTCTTAATTGACCGATAAATGTGTGAAAAGAAAATGTCTGCCCCCAGAAATCTAGAGATTTGCGGCATTTTCCCGTCTTATTATCCCGGGCTTTTTCAAGCTTTTTACTAGAATTGGGGATTTCAAGGAATTGTAGAGGGAGCCGAAATTCTTGGAACAGAATTCATCTATTCATCCATCAAATTCATCTATTCATCCAATAAATTCATCTATTCATCCAATAAATTCATCTATTCATCCAATAAAGTCGTCTATTCATCCGTCAAATTCATCTATTCATTTTTCATCCATCTACAGGGTTTCCCATTAAGGATGAGACTGTAAAGACGACCCAAAACTCTAAAAATATGACGATTTGAAGCTTGATTTTTGGTTTCTGCATTCAATTCTGTATTTTGATAGTTTATGTAATGATTAAGCACAGATATAATCCAGTTTTGGCCAACAAGGAACCCAGAATGCTAGATGAAGTTTTGATGCATTGCATAAGGTACGACAATGGTGGCATGGTTTGTACAAAACAAAATATTCAGCAAAATGGTTTCTCGTCGTTATAGTTTATATACTCGTCATAAGGCCAGTGAGGGGGGGGGGCATATACCCCTCCCCCACCCCCTGGTTCCAAAAATTTGATTTAGTTTACAATTTGTTGCGTTTAGAATTTATAATGAAGCACAATAAACAAAATCATGTGTGAAAATCAGGCATTAGTGATACTTCATTCATATATATATTCGTTTCTTGGTTCCATTCACTTTCCATACATATACATTCATTCTCTAGTTCTATTCACTTTCCATTCAAATACATTCATTTCCTTGTTCCATTCACTTTACATTCACCTGCATTCAGTCCCATAGCCAATTCACTTTCCATTTATATATATTCATTCCCTAGTTCTATTCACTTTCCATTCATATACATTCTTTCCTTGTTCCATTCACTTTACATTCACCTGCATTCATTCCTTAGTTCAATTCACTTTACATTCACCTGCATTCAGTCCCTAGTTCTATTCACTTTCCATTCATATATTCATTCCCTAGTTCTGTTCACTTTCCATTTATATACATTCTTTTCCTTGTTCCATTCACTTTCCATACATTTACATTCATTCTCTAGTTCTATTCACTTTCCATTCACCTGCATTCATTCCTTAGTTCAATTCACTTTCCATTCATATACATTTATTCCCTAGTTCCCTTCACTTTCCATTCATATAATTTCATTCCCTATTTCCATTCACTTTCCATTCAATTTCCATTCATATACATTCATTCTCTAGCTCAATTTACTTCCCATCCTCAAACATTTATATATTTTCATTTCTTGGTTCTATTCACTTTCCATTCAAATACATTCATTCCCTTTTTCCATTCACTTTCCATTATTCAATTCACTTTGCTAATAAATAATTAAATCAATTGATGAAACATCAATCTAATTGATCTGAACTCAATCAAACTGTGAATGAATTGATAAAAATGAATTCCAAAATATATCTATAGTGTCAATAGAAATTTCCGAAATATATGAAATATATTTACACAAAATTAACATATTAATCCGAGCACACTATTGTTAAATCAAGGTCTTTAGTTTGCTTATTTATTCTGCTACATGATATATTACTCTGCTCCCACCAACCCTCCTCTCTATATTATACAAACTCTATTCTTCAACAATATGTTTTTTAAAATTAACATAATACAAAGTTAAATCGCAGTTTTGAACATTTTGCAAAAAAATGAAGTACATTTGTTATAATACACATTAAATATCCACATTAGATAATACGCATATATTTGTATGGTTCAGGGGATAATTTGAAGGTGTAAAAAGTTTTGCCCGTATTGGTTTACTTGGCTTATATCAGGTTTCATCAAGAAATATCCTTCTTAGCAGACGCACACATGAATAAAAACAAACCAAAAATGTTGAAACAAACAAATTGATAAATGTTTCGGACAAATAAAATAAAAACAACATGCTAACCAAATTTTGACATAAATTCTATATTAATATTGTTATATCCCCCCCCCCTCCCCTCCCCTCCTCAAGCTTAACTATAGGCATGTAAGGCTATCTCTCTCTCGAGATATGTTAGATACAAGTTGTCTTCGGTTTGTACATTCGGAAATTAGATAATCCGCTAAAAGTTGTTGCAGTATAAATCCCGCCGGGAAACAGGAAACGGGGAGGAGAAAAGGAAAATTCGGGAAATTTTCATGTTAAAATGGCGCCGGAGACATTTTGGTCGAAACTCCGCAAACTTCTGGATTTCAGCCTGAGCTGTCTGCTTGAGAAGTTCACAAAAACCAACATACCGACACATACTACACTTCAACTAGCGACGTCAGGAAAAACTTACATCAAAAAGATCTCTTCTCCCAAGAACCTAATTACAATGCAGCAATCCAATGTTAAACACTACCAAAGTGTGCCTCTGATGCTCTCGCTAATTTTCACTGTAAATTACCATGTTAAAACTTTTGAAAGTGTGTTCAACAATTTTTTGCCCACGTGCTTAGGAGAATCCATTATAAAACCAGACAATAAATTTAAGGTAAAAAGACGAAGACATGTTGAACATTGCAACATTCCTTTATAGTGAACCCACCCATAGTGTGGGAGGGGGCAGTTATTATCATTGGGATTTGATTTATTTATGAACTTGGCTTAAACACGTATGCAAAATATGCCTAAAGGCCCCCCGAACCCATTTTGGAATTCTCTAATTTGTTATTGGTAAGTTTCATTATTTCACCTTTTCCGGTTATATTCTGTATATATGTATAAATTAAGATTTTTTATAAGTTAAACAATTTTTGATAATTTTTGAAAGAGAAACGAGACGATAAAGGGAGTAAACGCTAGCTGGAGTAAGGGTGTAGCTAAGAAAAGGGGGGCGGGGGTGACTAATCCCGTAATCTAAATTCCGCCGTAAATATTATGCATGCAAAAATGCGGGATAATTATTAACCAAAAAGATTCCAGTTCCAACCCCCGGAGCATATTTCGCTAATTTCTTCATTACCATTTTATTAAAGAGATTAATAAACATAAATAAATTAAATTTTCTATAAAAACTAAGAAAATAGTTGTAATGAATAATATTATACCTGACACACCATTTAATTTCTCTAAACCTTCCGTATTGAAGCACAAGTTCCATCCTGATGAAAAAAAATATAAATGAAATATGAATTTAAAAAACACTTAAGAGAATAAGAATTTACTTTGAAAAAAAAAACATTTTGAATTTAGGAGAAAAAAAATAGAATCTTGAAGAAAAAAATTGGTTCAAATTTGTTAGGCATGCGTTCCCTTAAAAATTCAACCAATTAGGTCTGCATAGCTAACATAAATACAGCTTTATTATATATATAAAATAGATATCCCCCCTCCCCCATCTTCATTGCCGAGAGAATTAGGTCTGCAGGAGTTAGGCCAGCTATAGCTAATATAAATACAGCTTTATTATATATATAAAATAGATATCCCCCCTCCCCCATCTTCATTGCCGAGAGAATTAGGTCTGCAGGAGTTAGGCCAGCTATAGCTAATATAAATACAGCTTTATTTTATAGATAAAATAGATATCCCCCCTCCCCCATCTTCATTGCCGAGAGAATTAGGTCTGCAGGAGTTAGGCCAGCTATAGCTAATATAAATACAGCTTTATTTTATAGATAAAATAGATATCCCCCCTCCCCCATCTTCATTGCCGAGAGAATTTCAAAATCAAGTGAATGAAAGTAACAAAATGATTTACACAAAACCAGTTTTGATTTGGGATTTTTTCTAACGGAAAAAGGGTTCTATCGTGTTTAAAAATAGAAAAATTTATAAAAGATGGATAGATAAATATAATTGTAAAATATATGAGTTGCCTATTTATTTTGAGCATATATTCTCACACCGCTTAACGGAGGGGACCGGGGGGGATAAAGATTGAAAAGGGGGGAAAGAGGGATAAAAGAAGGATGGATGGGGGATGGGGAAATGATGGAGGGAGGGGGGGATGAGCATATGGTTTGACGAGTGTTTTATCCTGAATGACCCCTGGGAACTAGATTTGACTAATCCCTCCATAAAACGACATCTCATGGTCGCCATTTTTTTTCAAAATTATTCAACCCCGCCGTAACACGATTAGTTTAATTATGACTAAATCCGTGTGAATTTCAAACACAGATTTCAAACAGAAAAAAATGCAGCTTCAAACGACAATTTAAAAAAAATGTCATTAAAAAATAGGCAGGTAGGGTGAAGGGCTGATAAAAATATGAAATATTACCACGTATATTTGTTGGACGCCAGATAAGATAAAATCACAAATGCACACGCCACACTCTACAGGAGTTTAAAAGTTATGAAGGAGGAAGGGGGGTATTCCCCCCTGCATTTAAAGTTTTTAAATTAAACAATTTATTGATTGAAAATGATATTTTTAAGTTTGTAAATATTTTGGTTTAAATTATGCCCCTTAGGAGACTGTCAGTATAAAAAATTATGAGAAGCATTTTCAATAACAGGTTTTAAACTTATAAACCCTAAACTGTGTATGATGAAACCTGCCCCCCCCCCCGCTCTCTGACAAGATTTGTGGGTTTGCAGAAAAATGTTCAATTACATCATAGCCCTTCATTGGCAGGGAAGGGGCTAGGCCACACTGAGTAGGAATTATTTAAGTTTCGAGAACCAATAAAAAAAAATGACTATCGTTGGGCTTGCGTTGAAGAACAGTTTTATGATTTCACCAAAACTAATTTCAATTCAAAAAAATTTAAGAAAAATTCAGTTTAAAAGTTAAAATAAGTATGTTCAAAGTACGTAGGACGTTTGAAAAACAAACGAGAAGCAGTCCCATTGCACATTGAGCTTTTGTGGGGGGAAAAGTCAACCTGCACAGTGAGCCTAAGTTTATAAAAAGCTTATTAATATTCCAGGCACAAGACGGCCACTAAACATGATGTTGGGATGAAAACATCTTGAAGGGGTGATCGAAGCAATAAGTGTTGGGTTTAAAATGACTTTAAACTGGTCCCAAATCAAGCCTATTTCCTTGCTTGTATTTTCTGTAGAATTACAAAAGCAGTTTTCTTACAAGGTTTACAGGGCATCATTGTAAATCGTATATGGAACTCTTGGAGTAAGTCACCATTAAAATATTAAAAGTCCATTCAATTAAAATATTAAAAGTCCCTTTAATTAAAATTTTAAAAGTCCCTTTAATTAAAATATTAGAAGTCCCTTTAAAATATTAAAAGTCCCTTTAATTAAAATATTAAAAGTCCCTTTAATTAAAATATTAAAAGTCTCTAATTAAAATATTAAAAGTCCCTTTAATTAAAATACTAAAAGTCCCTTTAATTAAAATATTAAAAGTCCCTTTAATTAAAATATTAAACGTCCCTTTAAATAAAATATTAAAAGTCCTTTAATTAAAATATTAAAAGTCCCTTTAAATAAAATAATAAAAGTCCCTTTAATTTGAAAAAAAATGTCAGAAACGAGTTCTAAACGTTTCTGCAGTATCAAACAATGAAAAGTTGGCAAAGATTTTGCGAAGATAATGACCAAAGTTGGCAAACCAATTTTGCAAATTCCGGTTTGTTTTACATCAGCCAACATATACTTGGGCCTTTTCATTCTTGTTTATACTTTTTAATCTTTTTTAAATTTTACGTTTTATCTGTCTATCTGTCAATCTGTCAATCTGTCTATCTTTCAATCTGTCTATCTGTCTATCTGTCTATCTGTATATCTGAATATCTGACTATCTGTCTATCTGTCTATCTGTCTATCTATCTATCTGTCTATCTGTCTATCTGTATATCTGACTATCTGTCTATCTGTCTATCTGTCTATCTGTCTATCTGTCTATCTGTCTATCTGTCTATCTGTCTATATGTCTATATGTCTATTTGTCTATCAGGATGAAGATGTCTGTCTGTCTGTTTATGAGTGGGTGTTAAGATGTTAGTGTACGATTATCTGAATTTAATTGATACTATCCATATTAGATTTGGCGTTAAAATATGTAACCAACGGGTATATCATTTAGTCCTTAAAGGGGCAATTCAAGGGGGGGGGGAAATATATCTCCCCTTCCCCCTTTCACTACCCTCTCGATAGTATAGATTTAGTTTGTTAAGATTTCATAAGTTACTTTTACAGCCTTTTGACCCTGCATTATTACCCAAACAGCGGGATGTTAAGTTACTTAACTGTCCCTTTGACTGGTAGGTAACATAACATCCCGCCCTGCACAATTACCCAAACAGCGGGATGTTAAGTTACTTAACTGTCCCATTGACTAGTAGGTAACATAACACCCCCGCCCTGCAAAGTTCACGTGAAAATCGCATATTTGAATCTTGAAAGATAAAAGTGTGTTTTGCTACTTTTTCGGTGAATCAAAAAGATAAGACATAAGATAAAATACATTTTCATAAAATGATGTTACATTTTATTGCTAGAATTTGAATGGAAAGTTAATTCAAAAAGTTAGACAGAGCAATATCTTGTTAACCAGACATCTAAATAGAGTTGAATAAAGCTTCTAAGACAGACAGACAGATAGACAGACAGTCAGACAGTTACTGGTTGGTTCTACAATACAGAACTGACATTAATACACGGGAGTGGGTGAAATCAATCTAATCTAGAAGCTATATACGTCACCCTAGACATACAAACAAACAAACATACAATATATTTTTGCTGTATACTGTACAATGTACATTATACATTGTACAGTAAACATTGTACATTCTACACTCTACACTCTACACTCTACACTCTACACTCTACACTCTACACTCTACACTCTACACTCTAAACTTTACACTCTACACTCTACACTCTACACTCTACACTCTACACTCTACACTCTACACTTTACACTTTACACTCTACACTCTACACTCTACACTCTACACTCTACACTTTACACTCTACACTCTACACTCTACACTTTACACACTACACTCTACACTCTACACTCTACACTCTACACTTTACACTCTACACTCTACACTCTACACTCTACACTCTAAACTCTACACTCTACACCCTACACTCTACACTCTACACTCTACACTCTACACTCTACACTCTACACTCTACAGATGTGAACAATTATCCTAACCAACTGTGAAAAATTTTATTTTAAAGGTTTTTTAGCGATCAGCAGTCTAGCTGTGGGGCGGCTTAGAAAAAGCTTTAAATTGGACACGATCGATTTTTCTTCTTAATTTACTGATTTTTAGGGTTGGACTTTTATCATTTTATTCTTTTATAATATAGAGTTTATTATAAAATTAACATGGCTTTTCTTTTGTTAATTTTAGAGAAAACTATTGATCCCTGTTTAAGGGTCTTTCTCCCTCACACCTTTTACGGTGCCTAAATGGTTTTATGTTTAAACACCAATTAGGATAAATTTATAGGCGAAACCAATCCCTAGCTCACTAGCCTACTCTCGTATAACCAGTCATCCATTCTTCATACTTTATTGCAGTTTTTCGGGGATTTTGATAATGTCATCTCCCAGATTTCTGTCTATTGGCGCAACTCTAGAGGATTTTTCAGGAAGGTAAGATTAAACAAAAGTAAGAAATTTATTTTATAAGGAGAAATGAAATGGTATCAGGAAGAAAAAAAATGGTATGAATGTGTGAATGTAGTAAGATCCATGTCTGCTTGATTTTCAATCAAAATACGCGACGTAGGGTAGAATTATGGAAACAAATAATTATATTTATCTAGCTAAACCGTATCATAATCATACTCTACAACCATCAACCATAATTGAAAACTATCCTCTTCATAATTCAATAATTGAGTGTGAAAAACTGTCTTTTTTGGGTTAACAAATATGGGGGGGGGGCACAAGAAGCACTGGTTAAATCTTTAAAATATTTAGATCCCAAAAAGTTTACTACCCCCAACAATAGGCCAAAAACCCAACGGGGTATTGTAGGTATATCCTAAATCTGGGGAGGATAAAAAACTGTTCAAAAAAGGTGTAATTATTCGAAATGATGCTGCTAGAAGGAAAGGATAAAAATGTTTGAGATAATTTAATAATAACAATGATGAAGAAACAATATTAAACGAGGGGTTAGAGGTATTAGAAGAGGGGGAAATAGGAATGATCAGTGAAGATCGGGATTGGAAGATTGGGGGAATGATGAGTGGGATTGGAAGAAAGGGGAATGATGAGTAGGATTGGAAGAAAGGGGAATGATAAGTGGGATTGGAAGAGAGGTGGGGGAATTATATGAGTGAGATTTAAGAGTGGGGAATGATGAGTGGGATTGGAGGAGTGTTGGGAGAATTATGAATAATCCAAAGGTATAATTTTTGACAGCAAGAGAGAGGGGAACCCTCTGGTTTAATCAAATTCATGCCATTTCAGATATTCAAAATTGGATCGCCCCCCCCCCACTCCCCACTCCTTCTCCCCTCCCCAAAAGTTTGGTTTCATCTCGTTTTTAATCTTTCCAATTTGTTTAGATAGGTCTGGAGCATTACATGAACGAAATATTATTTATACGATCCTACAATCCTACAAACATTGCTCCCCCGGGCCCCAGCGGGGAGGGGGTCCATGTGGGAATAATGCAATTAGACTAAGTACAGTTTAAGAAATTTGGCAGTGGAGAGAAAATTGGCGTTTAAACAAATTATTTGGCATTTTTTCAAAATATTTATATTTTTTCTTCACAAAATATAATTTTACATTTTTCTTCTTTCTTGCCAACCCATCTTCCTATCTCCCCCCCCCCCTTCCCTCCTCAATGTTTTTAGGAAAGCGGGAAAATGGTTGATAAAGATTACCCCAGGGTGTAAATAAAATCTATTTCCCTTACCCTTGGAAAAACTGGGGATTCTAGGAATTATACCAGACAAACTATACTTTTTGAAGATTAAATTTTTTGTGTTTATATGCTTTTTGGAGTATTTAAACTTTGTATCCAGATACAAGCCAGAAGTAGAAGGTAAAATGCAGTAACGGCGAAAGCAAATTTATCTGTGTCCGAATTTTATTAATTTGAGACGCGTCTTAAATCCGCCAAAAACCGGGTTCAATTGAGCGCCGGCTTAAATCTTAAAACATTGAATACAATTTTAAGTGAAACCAACCATATTTGAGCCGCGGCTTAAATTTAGGCCGCCTCTCAAATTCTTTAAATTCGGCCTCTGGTTACAGACATGTATATTAGAAATTTAAAACATTTTTGTTCTTTTCTACATATAGCAGTACTAGCTCTCCAATAAAATGAGTTAGGATGGAAAAAAGGTAAAATTTCAATCCTACGCATAATTTACTTTAGCTTGACGTGAGTGTATTGTGTGTCTGTACGTGTGTCTGTGCATATAGTTGCGTGTGGTCTATGTGTGCGTGCGCGCGTGTTTGATTTATCCATATTCAGAGGAAAAAGTAAACAACCCTGTTGACATCTAGCCTTAATCATAATTTCAATAAACATCTATCTATCTATTTATCTATCTATCTATCTATCTATCTATCTATCTATCTATCTATCTATCTATCTATCTATCTATCTATCTATCTATCTATCTATCTAATTATCTTTCTATCTATCTAATTATCTCTCTAATTATCTATCTATCTATCTATCTATCTATCTATCTATCTATCTATCTATCTATCTAGCTATCTAATATATGTATCTATCTATCTATCTATCTATATATCTATATATCTATCTATCTATCTATCTATCTATCTATCTATATATCCACAGCGTGTGCCCCATGGTCTCTTAAACCACCATCATCTAGATTTTTGGGTCCCAGGGTGAACAATAAGAAAAGGTACTTAAAGAATGTATTCCCATGGAACGCGCTGAACTAGATTTTTCAGGTAACTATGAAAAATCCAAAAATCGTTTATTGACCATTCGATTGAATATCTATTAATGTGGAGTTAAGAAGAATTTTTAAAAATATATCTTTCTATGAATTTGTTAAGCTTAAATTTGAATTTTTACCCCCCATAATATTATATCCATGACTGAAGGTGGGTATAGGTAGGTATAGGTAGGTATTGAGTTACATCCTTCTTATATCCAATATACCCACAGTTAACTACTAGGCTACTGTCTTACAGGGGAGGGGTATGAGAGAACACCTCCCCCCCCCCTCCCTTCTTCCCCTGTTTTCAAGAATGAGAACCCTTTAAGAATGGATGGCATGGTTTAAATTCTTTCTTCCTCCTTCCCCTCCTATACCCTGGGGGGGCTAAATTCAAATTTCCAACCCCCCCCCCCTCGGTTTCCTAAAAACAAGTAAGTATCAGATTTCTCCAAGATTAAACAAAAGTAAGAAATTTATTTTATAAGGAGAAATGAAATGGTATCAGGAAGAAAAAAAATGGTATGAATGTGTGAATGTAGTAAGATGTATATGTAATTTGAAGTAAATAAATTCTTAATATTTGGGTCGGTATGCGCAAAATAAGATCATATTGAAACCCTATCCCCCCCCTTTTCTACCCTCTTCTACGCATTCTTGATCTTAAACCCTATGGAACTAATATTACAATGTGTAATATGTACAGTACACACATACATTACATATATATATATATTAAATTAATATGATGGTCATTTCATAGTTAGGCATGAAGAGGATCAACCCAGGCCAGAATCTATTCTCAAACTGTAAGTTAACAAGCTGCAGTCTACTTTTTAATGTTTTGAATAAAAAATCTTACCATTCATTCCATAAGCTGGATGTTGAAGTCCGTGGACTGGTGAAGGAGAATTGGTCCCTGAATTGGACCCCATTCCTAGGTACGCCCCTGTAGGGGGCTGCCAGGCAGAGGGGTGGTGCATACTGTGGTGGACACGCCCATAGTCCCCTGGCAGGGGTTTAATCTCCTGTTTGAGCTCCTGGGCGTAAAGTCCATGGTGCATGGACCCCCACGGGTCCACGGCGGGACTAGGGAGTCCCCAAGGGTTAGGGTGGAGTCCAGGATGTCCGTTATGATGGACTTGAGGTTGGGGAGGCATATACTTCATTTCCTAGGAGGGGAGGATATCATTGTTAAAGAGGTCCAAGGAGGGGGGGATATCATTGTTAAAGAAGTCCAAGGTGGGAAGGGGATATCATTGTTAAAGAGGTCCAAGGTGGGGGGGGGGGGAATGGTGGACAAGTTCTAAAAATAAAGTCAGTTTGAAAACTTTTTTTTATTTTTAAAAATCGTGTCACTATAGCGAAGAGTATAGCTTAAGATTCCGAAAACAAATTTGCAAACTTTTTAATTCAAATCATTTTTTTTAAAGTGCTCTTTAACTGTAACTCTTTCCAAAACGTTGCACCTATTTTAAATGAACTAATTCATACAAAAAATACCTCTTTTAAACAAAACTCTTTGATACAGAATTATCTGAACTCTTTGATCACAAACTATTGCAAAGATTGTATGTTTAAAAAGTGTTGTATGAATGTTGATATTAGTATAGACTGAAATGAAAGGAGAACTCTATATCTGCCATTGTAATTATGCATAACTCAGGAGATAGTAATCTATTAGACGACCCAGAGGGACTACAAGCAGATACAGGGGGAGAAGTAAAAAATAAATCTTGTTTTAGATAACATTTTAAAATCTTATTGTGATTAGTTATAGATAATTAAATTTAATTAGATGCCCCCCCCCCCCTCGGGCCAACAGTAAAATTAACACAACAGTAATTTTTTTCTTCTCACCCTTTTTATGTTGGATATATCTAAAGCATTTATAGAGTTTATGACTAAAGAAAGAATACTGGGGTTTAATCCCAAAATTATAAAAAAAATGGCAAAAATTTATTCCTTGTACCGTCTTAGTTTTTAAAACTTTGTACTAAAAGGTGATAGGTTTCCTGCTTTATACTTATAATTCTCAGAGCTGATTTTTTTCATTTAAAGTTTGAGTTTAACGTAATTTCATTAAATGATGAACATGATTTAAGTTCAATTTTGCTATATTTTTTTTTCGGAATAAAAACCTATCCCTTTGAAATATGACAGGCTTTCAGAGCCTTTCATTTGAGGTCCCGACCCCCCCCCCCCCACCTTCAACATGAGATTGAAAAAGGCCGGATGTATGTTTTTGGGGGGTTATAATATTCCTAGGATTGGTAACTTGATATCTCATGGTTAAACTTGAAAAGTCATAGCACATTTAAGGTTTAAAATTGATTTCTTTCAACTGATAGGTTATTGACAGAAACTGATATCTCATGGTTAAACTTGAAAAGTCATAGCACATTTAAGGTTTAAAATTGATTTCTTTCAACTGATAGGTTATTGACAGAAACTGATATCTCATGGTTAAACTTTAAAATATCATCTTCAACACTCTAGCATAAATGTAGGCTTTAAACTTATACAATTTTTTCCGCTATTTTGTTTTTTTTACGAGATTCTAAACTGGTTTTGCTTCTAGTCAATTTATTTATAAATGTAGAAGGAATACCAGGCAACTCGGGGGATGAGCATATTTTTTACTGCCTATAATCTTTAAAAGGCTTTTAAGTTGTGGTTTGTGTATACATCAACCACCGTCAGCTTTATCTCACAAAAATTCCATCCTTGACTAGTTGAATCGTCAAAAAGTGCATAAAAAAGTTACGATCCTTTTAAAATGATAAAATGAGATAAAAATAACATTTTATGTTTAAAGGAGTGGTCTAATGTAGATTTTATCATGACAAGCATTTTGCGCATTTTCCGACATTTTAGTTCAAAATCTAACGATTTGATGAATTTTTCGTTTGTGTCAAGTGGCGGATTTGTTGTATTAAGGTTTGGTTTGGTTTATATTGTATACACTGTATATTGCGGGGTTTCTCTTATATTTAGAAGTTAGTGAGATTACTGTTTATTGCTCACAATAGTACACTATGGATAAAAAATTGAACAACCATAAACATTTATCTTTTTCCTCTGGAATTGTTTTTGCTGAAGATGGTAGTATAAAGTTTTATAGCGTTTAGGGCCAGTAGTGGTATTATTCTACTATACACGTTTCTAGTAGGGAATTCTTCTATTTTAAAACATAATATTTCTGTATTAAGGAGATTTTTAGAAAACTGCATTTGGACCCCTGTTTTTCCCAAGGCCTAAAAGTTTAACAAAGCAAGGTAAATTCAGGTTTTAATGGTTGAATATAAAACTTGGTTTATGCCATTAATGAATGAGGAGCGTTTACGATAAAATTCAGACAGAAAGATATTCAAATACAAAGATAGATAGATAGATAGATAGATAGATATATAGATAGATATATAGATAAATAGATAGATAGATAGATAGATAGATAGATAGATAGATATATAGATATATAGATAAATAGATAGATAGATAGATAGATAGATAGATAGATAGATAGATAGATAGATAGATAGATAGATAGATAGATAGATAGATAGATAGATCCCCCATATGTGAACATCCCTTATGAGTATTCTTTGAGCAAGCCCTGGCTGGAATCTGCCTCATTTGAAAGTCAAATTTTTCTCCCAAACTCATTTAAATAAAAACCGGGTCAGATGCAGATGCAGGTTGCAATTCTTATCAGTAAAACAGGATTTTTGCATCTTCCTATTTTTAAGTCTTGGATAGGTGATAATTTCCCTTTTTTAAATGTACTTCCGTATTAGAGATAGATAGATAGATTAGATAGATTATTTGATCTAACAGAATTCATAGTTTAACTAGTTTCCCACAAAGGATTGAATTAAACTATTGATCAGTTTAAAATGACCCTGTACTGAGTTAAAGCCCTTAAAGTCAAATATAGGTCACCTAAAAAAGTTTAAAAATAGACTATTTTAAGATATCACAATCACCATAGTAACTAAAACAAGCAAAAAGAAACAATACATTTTAGAGGGGAAGGGGAAACGGGGAGAAGGGGGGGAAAGAGGGGGGGGAAAGGGGAATATATTAAATATTTTCATTCAGTTGCTCAATACTCAGCAGAATTCCATTGTTTTCAAGAAACAAACTGATTTATTTACAGATATAAACATTTAATAAATTTTAAACATTTTATAAATATTAAACATTTATAAATATTAAATTATTTTATAAGCTTATTTTTACATAGATTGCAAGATAAAGCGATAGAAAGAAGAATAGATAGAAAGATAGAAAGATACAAAGATATAGATATTTTTACAGATAGATAGAAAGTTATAGATATACATACAGATAGATAGATATATAGATAGATTTATTGCTAGTAAGATAGATGGATCGATAGATTGAAAGATAGATAGAAAGATAGATAGATAGATAGATTGAAAGATAACAAGATAGATAGAAAGATAGATAGAAAGATAGATAGATAGATAGATGATAGAAAGATAAATAGAAAGATAGATAGAAAGATAGATAGAAAGATAGATAGAAAGATAGATAGATAGATAGATAGATAGAAAGATAGATATATCTAAGGGTTGCAGTTCTGAATATCAAAGCGTGATGATTTAAATAACGCGATGAATAAAATAACTCAATTTACGCAAAAGTTCAACACTTGCGTACGCATATTCAGAGCTCGAACCTATGTTTCAATAAATGCATTAAATATATAGCATTAAGCACGGGTAAAACTGTGAATGTGCAAGAACACTAGATCGTATAATTCAAGAGATTTTTCTAGATCTTTAAACACGTTGCGAATTTTCTTATATTTAATTATTTTATAAAAATTAAGTTACCATTTTGTCTAATTGTAATCGAACTTTTTTATTTGAACATCAAGCTTTGATTTCGAAGACTTTTTAGATCGTTTCCACTCGCTTACCAGCGCGCAGATGGTAAAATTGCACGCAGATATTAAACTTTCAGCTAGATAAATAGCGAAGGTTTAGGTTCTGCTGTGAATCGTTTATAGAACACTTAGAATTTATTTGAATTTAGCGAACACTCCCTTTAAGTTAAGACCCTGTCTATTTCTAGGTGTGAAAACTACCAGGAAAATTATTTATTCATTGATTGAAGTTTCCTGGAAACAAGTTCTTGATCAAGATTCAACAATTTCTCCGTATACTCACGGAACTCACCAGCTTTAAAGCAAATATTCAGAAAAAGAAAAAAAGGTCTAGATTGAGAAATAAAATGGCAGATTAAAGTGGGAATCGAGAAATAAAATGGCAGATTAAAGTGGGAATTGAGAAATAAAATGGCAGATTAAAGTGGGAATTGAGAAATAAAATGGCAGATTAAAGTGGGAATTGAGATAGAATGAGAAAAAGGTAGAGAGTAAAGGTACAGAGAGTACTATTTTTCACGTAATAAAAAAATTGTTATTATTATTAGTCTGCTTTTTACGAATAAATCAGCGATTTACAACGACGGAATATAAAGATAAAGATGCAGATTTTAACTCCAATATATTTAGAAAAAAATCGCCGATTTTTTGCTACTTGGATAAATGAATAAAAGGTATTGTTGTGAATAGTTGATACCTTCATTTAATTTTTCAGCCAAAAGTTCGCTAAAAATGTCGTTGACTAAAGTGTATAAAGCATGTCAGCTTATAACTTTACTTTTTAATTTTTCTCAAAGTGTAAACTGACGTATGTCTAGCTGTAGTCTGTAAGTTATATCTTAGCAACTGTACAGCTTTATATATATGATGTAACCGTGTACAGCTAGCGATAAACGTTGTAAATAGTAAAATTAGCAAAAATAAAAAAACCCGTTTTTGCAGAAACACATTTTTTTCGCGCAATTTCTGATTGAGATTTGCAAAGATAGAGTTATCAGTGTTTTGGGCCTTTTAAATCTGCAATCCTTCTTTGCATCCGACAATTTCAATCCTGTTATCTTAACTTTTTTTTGACACTTTAAAGGTTACGAAAACTGCAGCGCGTGACCAAAATTTTGAAGGATTTTGTATTAATTCAAAACCATACAGGGTTATATACATATTTTTATAGGAACTGTCATTGTAATTTTAAATAACCTTTCATTTAAGACAAATTTGCCAATTGTTACTTTTACAAAGAAATTATTATTTAAAAATAATCATTTTTTATTTTTATTCTTGTGAAGGCTAAGCTTTTAGAGGCATCGTTGACAATCGGACTCAACAAATGGAGGGTATTTTTTAATAATTTTTAATAATTTACAGCTAGTCCCTTTAGATTTATAAAGTTTTTTTTCCGATATTTGAATAGGATGATAACAGGGCTTCAGGATTATATTAGATGCTAAACAGGGAAAAGCCGTGTAACAAGGGCTTCACTGTTTATATATATATATAATATATTTTATTATATATATGCGTGAATATATATATATATATATATGTATACAATATATGATTAATATATAGACTACATTTTTATTTTTAAACAATCATAAACATTCAAAATCACTTGTAATATTTCTATTGCCAAAAAATCACAAAACAGAACCAAAAATAAGACCAAGAGTTTTTTAAAATGTTGTCAAAACCCATTTCTACTTTTTTAAAGATGTATGTCAGTTAATAACAGTTTTAGAGCATTAAAAGATCGCAAAGTTACAAAAAAAATAATTCCTAATATTTTAGATTTCTTGCTTGGTTACAAGACAGAAAATGTAATTAAAATGTTGGAGAGTTAAAGTTTAAATTGAGATTCAAGGGGGGGGGAATCAAGGATCGAGGGAGGGGGGATTAACGATGATATTCCTGCTGTACCACTTGTTCTCTCTGTAAGCTATATCCCTGAGAAACAGAAGGATTTACAAGATTCATAACTCCCTCCTCGCCCCCCTCACTCGTCGGAGGAGGGGAGGTCAAATAGGCCGATGAGGCCGACATGGATTCTTTCAACAGAATCACTTTGAATTTAGAAAATGTCCTGGAATTATACAATCACAATTATGGCGGTGGATTATATTGTTTAACTATATAAACATGTGGCTCCTGGATCGGTTGCGAGGACACTACTAAACCAAACCAACATCGTCCATTCGGGGCGCACAAATATACTTTCTCGATGGGTCGGGCGGGAGCCTTCTCATTGGTCGAGACAAGACCGGCTTGTCTTCTGATTGGTCGAGACGGGAGGATAGTGTCGGTGTCACGTGACGTCACACGTAAGGGAAGATAAAGGCCTTAGAAGTGGAATAAGATGTTTAAGCCTATATGTATATATTTGTATATAAAACTTAAAGTTAAACCAGTTTGTAGTTATAATTATTAAACTGCAGTCTACTCTTACAATAAAGTTTTCTTCTTTTTTGAATTATGGAAATTTTTTCTGAAAACTGGGAAACTTCGTAAAATTGTGAAAAATAGATTTATCAATATCAGAAGTGCGGTTATAGCTGAATCTTTTAAAACAAAATATCAGAAGTGTGTTTATAGCTGAATCTTTTAAAACAAGTTTGATCTGACTTCTGGGATCGAGAAGCAAGCTTTATCAAAATCATGTATTTTTTATACCTGAAAATAACTCAGTACTGATTAAATGAAATAAAAAACGCAAATTTAGTTTTTTTTCTTTTTATAATCAATTTTGTTCTATTTTTTCAATGTTTAGTGCGTGGTTCCCAAAAGACCGTAGAAACTTTTGTTGTTTTCGTTTTCTTTAGATTAAGAAATTTCGTTGAAAATAAATAAATGCATTTCCCTGGAAACTCAAATTAAAGAAAAATAATTTCAAAAGTAAAATATGAAGTTATTATATTTTTGTACAGGAATTTTAATATATGATTTAGACTAAAAAGAATGTATTAACTTAATAAAAAATAGTTGCTCTTAATAGCGTTAAATTCACAACTTTTTTTAACAAATATTTTACTTCTTCTTTTTGAAAAATTTTAATGTTATGAAAGGGACTGTAACCAACCTTTCAAAGGTACCGTTGTGAATCGGGCATTGTCATCTTTGCAGGTTCTTTCCTTATAAGAAAGGTTGTAAAAAAACAAAAAAAAATCTTTGTCAAAAAAAATAAGCAAAAAAAGTATAAATATTGTCTTCTTGACCAATGGTCCCATACTATTTTGATTGTTCAACAATGAAAAGTGTTTCAAATATATACTTTTTTAAAATAGTTTTGACAATTTTACGTTTTCCTTTATAAGAACTTAAAGTGTTTTAAGAATAATACCTCATACTTGGAAAAATAAATTTTAAATTAAGATAAAAATACATTTTAAGAACTATTGTTGAAGTTTTTCTTTGCAAATCTTGGCTTTATTTTACATTTATTCTTTTAAATAGACAACCAAAAAAATGTTTAATTAAAGATTGAAATTTACTAAGACTTTAGATGAAAGTGTACAGCAAAACTGATTACAAAGAAAGGATCCCAGATTCATTAAAAATTATTTCTAAAATTTGTATCATTTATTTATATTTTTAAGGGGTTTTTTTGTCCAAGGTAAACGCTTTTCTTTACATTCTTTAATAAATTATTCTTAATCATCTTGTCCATTTTATGAATATATTAATGGACTTTTGTTGAATGAAAAGCATACAAAAATAGTATTGAAGAATTAAGAAAAGCTTGAAGTTTTTTCTAAAAAAATGAAATAAAATCTGATTTGACTTTGTCTTTTTTTTTGTCTCGTTAAATAAGGAGAACTTTTAAGGTTGTACGTATAACAATAATATTTGTCTGCATCCAGTTAACTTCATATATGTACACCCTACACCCTACACCCTACACCCTACACCCTACACTCTACACTCTACACCCTACACCCTACACCCTACACCTTACACCATACACCATACACCCTACACCCTACACTCTACACTCTACACCCTACACCCTACACCCTACACCCTACACCCTACTACTTTCACCCAACAAACCTCACGTCCAAGGTGCATTGGGACATGCAATTTTAATGTCAAAATTTTATGACTAAAAATAGCAACAAAAAATGCACATGCAGTTTTGTCTCTTGTAAAAAAAAACGACTGTTCAGAAAAATAAATCTTTTTATTGCTGAATCTATTTAACGAGAATGTATGACGTCACCAAAAAGTATGAAGTTATCAATTTATGGTTATTCTTCAATCATAATAAATCTATTGTTCTCTAAATAGATACTATACTAGTAATTAACTACCAAATTACTTAAGAGGACTGTTAACGTATTTCAGAGTGACCCCCACCCCCTTATTTAATGAGGTTTCCCTCTCCTCCATCTCCTCTATTCCAGCTGATCCTCGATGTCTCCCACAACCTTCTTTTGACCCAAACTTTGCAGAGAAGTGGGTTCAATCCCATGCATTCAAATATTTCAAAATACTTAAAATTTCAAAATTAATATCTAGAATATGAGGAATAAACAGGTGAGAATATCTAAATAGGGAATAAACAGGTGAGAATATCTAAATATGGAATAAACAGGTGAGAATATCTAAATAGGGAATAAACAGAAGAGAATATCTAAATATGGAATAATCAGGTGAGAATATCTAAATAGGGAATAAACAGGTGAGAATATCTAAATATGGAATAAACAGGCGAGAATATCTAAATATGGAATAAACAGGTGAAAATTTCTAAATAGGGAATAAACAGGTGAGAATTTCTAAATAGGGAATAAACATGTGAGAATATCTAAATAGGGAATAAACATGTGAGGATATCCAAATAAGGAATAAACAGGTGAGAATATCTAAATAGGGAATAAACAGGTGAGAATATCTAAATAAGGAATAAACAGGTGAGAATATCTAAATAGGGAATAAAAATGTGAGAATATCTAAATAGGGAATAAAGAGGTGAGAATATCTAAGTAGGGAATAAACAGGTGAGAATATCTAAAACGATGGAACAGATTTAAAAACAGAAAGAAAAAGTTTTTTAAAATAGAAACAATCCAATTAAAACAGTTTGGTAAATGAAGTAAAGTACATTATTTACTTATTTTGCAGAACAAGTTTATTACCCATGGTCAAGTATAGTAGTACGGTTAAACGGATCATATTCAGGAAATACACAACCAATCTGAAAACGACGATATCCCAGAGGAGCCTAAGAAAACTTAGGTTTGCTTCTATTATTATTTGAATTTAACCTTTAGGTTGCAAATATATAGATTAGAAAATTTGAGCTTGTGACATCAAAAATTCAATTCAAGACATAGTTTTATATCAATTTCTCGAGACAGGAACATCGGATAGAACTTTCATGGGTCTTGCTCAACTCCTAGGTTTCAGCCTATACCCCCTTTCATTTTTCCTCTACAGTCCCTTTAAAGAGATATTCTTTGTAATTTCAAATGGCCTTTCAACTTAAAGCTAGGGGTCTGTCTGATTTTTAATTCTTGTAATTTCCTCCCATTTTATCTGCAGTAGAAGAGTTCAAATTCATTTTGCAGAGAAACCACAAAACTCAATAAATAGTGAAACCACAATAACCCGAAAAACATGGATATCTCATTAATTTTTGTCTTTTTTGATCAGCTTTAAACCCACAGTCATGAATTATACGATTCACTTTGTAAATGTTGAGTCACATAAGTTTACGAATTTAAACTGTTTTGACACATTTCATAAATAATTTGAACAAGAATAATTCCTAGAATTATCTTAGGAATGTTTAGATGAATGGCAAGGGATGGATGGATTGGAGGAAGGAAGGATGGATGAAGATGATTTGATTGATAGATAAATGATGAACTCGAACTATCTTTACCCCGTAGTCCCTTGTCATCCAACCCCCCATTATCTAAACATCCTGGTTGTCTTGTCAACTTGCCCCGCCCATTGATCCGCCCACTCCGCCCGCCCGCCGCATTCCCGCCCCCGGGCGGAAGAATGCCTCGCTGCAAAAAGAGAAATCCGCAAAATAAATTTAAATTTTTGCGCAAAAAATGGGATGAATGCGATTTGGCTCTGTCAATAGTTCATAAATTGATAAATATGTACATAATTTAATATGTTCATATGAACTACCGGATAATTACCCAGCGCATGCCATTTTTATTTTACGTGCATGATCAGTGCGTTGTGGATGCATTTCATTTTGATACAGATCCGGATCCTGGATCCGCACTAAATAAAATGGATTTGGACCCAGGCCATAAACATTTTTTTTATTCACAGATGTTTATAAGAAAGAATAATTTTTAAAAGATGAATAGATATATAAAATTATGGATTATATATTGGATTAAATGATGAAAAGATAAATGAAATTATGGATTAAGTATTGGATTTAATAATTAAAAGATAAATGAAATTATGGATTCAGTATTGGATTTAATAATGAAAAGATAAATGAAATTATGGATTCAGTATTGGATTTAATAATGAAAAGATAAATGAAATTATGGATTCAGTATTGGATTTAATAATGATATTATGGATTAATTGAAAAATAGATGAATAGATCAATTGAAGATTGAATTAAATAATGGATTAAACAATGGATTAAATAATGGATTAAATGATAAATAGATCAATGAAAGAATGGGTTGAATAATAGATTAAATGATAAATAGATTAATGGAAAAATGGAAGAATGGATTGAATATTGGATTAAATGATAAATATGAAATAAATGAATAAATTAAAGGAAGAAAAATGGATTACATGATGAATACATAAATGGAAGAATGGATTACAGGATGGATTAAATAATGAATGAATGAATGAATTGTTATTAGACAAACTAGTTTAATCGACACCAAGCATTCCTGAGCATACTGCTTAGCACACGTTCTAGGCAGATAGATGTAGAGATAGATAGATAGATAGATAGATAGATAGATAGATAGATAGATAGATAGATAGATAGATAGATAGATAGATAGATAGATAGATAGATAGATAGATAGATAGATAGATAGATATATAGATAGATAGATAGATAGATAGATAGATAGATAGATAGATAGATAGATAGATAGATAGATATATAGATAGATAGATAGATAGATAGATAGATAGATAGATAGATAGATAGATAGATCCGGAATTA